CTACACATCATAGTCTACAGTACCATGTTCAATTTGTTTGCATGGAGTCACAACAGGACATAGAGGAAGTTGAACATCGAGTTCGAGTCCAAGAGATGCTGCAATATGCACGTGGCCAGCAACTGCAGGCGCTTGGAGCTGATGCCCAACTCTTGGCCTATTTCCATCATAGATGTGTCCTGTGTGCATACTTCAGTTTGGCCATCAAGGGCCTCCATATGCACTGGCAACGAGAACATCCATCTGAATTTCAACGTCATGAAGCTGTCAATGAAATTTTGCTACCCAGATTTGAACATGACAGCCCATGCTCTTTGTGCGGCATCTCTTTCAAACGATATCACAAGTGTCACATCGTACGACAAATGGCACTTTTGTTGACGCGAGAGGGACATGAAGCAGCACAAGACAAGTCAGCCCTGGTGTGCAAGCACTGTGGAAAGGCGTACACAACTCGCCATGGCCTTCTTCAACATGAACGCCGATATCATCGAGCAGAAGAGGCCGTCGAAGATGTTACCGCCCACGAAATTGATCTGCATTGCCTGATTCACCAGGCTGTGTTGGCCAACAAGTGCGAGGACCTCTTACAGCAGGAGGACATACAGCACTTCTTGTCAACCAGGTGCATACAGTGTCGCAAACAATACATGAGCAAACGTGAATTGCATCGACACCTCAAACAAAATCATGCAACATCTTGGCACGCCTGTGAATACCGAGCCATTGAGTTGGACAGACAGTGGAAACCAATCTATGGCTGTGTATGTCAACCAACTATGCACTCCAAGCACATCTGCAACATCTACCTGCAGTTTGCGCTGCTCAGGCTGGACCAAGAGCAGCAGCTGATGCCGCAGCTTGTAGCCGAGCCCCCTGATGTGATCCTCAGTGTGGTTGAGCAGATTGAACCGCTGCTTTGGCTGGGCCTCACACACAACCTCTACTGCAGGAGTGCGCTGAAGATGCATCTCACGATGCACTGCCAGGTCTGTGGCTACTCAGGCTCCAATGCTGAGGATCTCAGACTTCACCTGATGGCAATGCATCCGGTGATCCTACAGGAGTGTCTCTATCTGACCGAGATGTTTCAGTGGAGCATGTTCATGGAAATGGGATGCTTTTGCAATCCAATGCCTGGGTGGGGCACTTTGCATCATGAATGCGTTGGGCTGACGCAGTTAGCAATCATTGCAGCGTCGTTCAACTGGCAGGTTGTCATTCCCTGGCCCTTTACATCCCAGGAATTGATGGCGCTCCTTGCAGACCTTCTTCCCTGTGCTGCCCTTCAGAGAATTTCCATGGCATTGATGACACGCAATTTTCATTTGCTGTGGGAGGATTCTGAACTCCTTGGAATGCTGGCTACCCGATGTTTGATCTGTCAGGAGCAGGTGGACATGAGCCACATCCAGGCTCACCTGGTGGTGCATCATCAGATCACTGCTGACAAGCTGAAGTATTTGACACATCAGCTCAGTGCGGTGTATGCATCTTTGAGTCTGGCTGAAGAACGCTGTGATTGGTGTCACGAGCTTTTGCCGTCATATCTGGACTCTGAGGACGAGCTACGTGTGGATCCTCATGCACACCTTCAGAAGTGCCCCATGATCACACAGATGGCCATGCTCTTGATGCACCCGAAATGGTCTAGCCCTGCATTGCAACCTTTGACTTAGGCCTCTCAGGAACAGATTGCTGAAACACGTCAGCGCCATGCCCTGAAGATGTGGCAGTTCAACGTCAGCACCCCAGACACCTTTGGAGTTTCGCTTGAACTGACAGCACAATGTGGATTGCAGTTGCTTGAAGATGCATTGATTGCGGACAGTGTCACACACAAATGCCTATTGTGTGGCAAAGCATTTTTCCTGACACATCAAATGATCAAACATCTTCATTTTGAGCACAACTTTTTACAATTTCAAACCCACATGTGTTATCATCGGTTGGCCTTACGCTGTGCTGATCCTTGCCAATTTTGTGGACTCAAAGAGCACCAAGCACAGTGTCCGGCCCTCCTGAACTTGGCAGTTTTCCTTATCAATGGATACGGCATCAGAGGCCTCGGAAGGCATCGATGCGGCCAACAAGATTTGGGGCAATTTGTTGACGAAGGAACAGATGGCCAATTTGGGCATTGCAGCACCAGCGCAAAGAGATGGCAAAAGGCCCAGGACAGATCGCAAAAGCAGACCAAGCTCTGCTTCCACAACAGTGCCGACGGAGGTTCTGGGCACACTGTGCCGCCTGGTCTTGAAGCACGAGGACACCATCAACAGTCTCCTTCAGGAGAGTCAGTTCCTGTTACATCTGGCACCAGGGAAGGGGAGCATCCTACCTTTGATGATGGATGTCAGCCGCACTTGGCACCAGCGGGTGGAGAAATCAATTCCACTCCGACATCTCCTTGCCCAGACCATGATGGAGGAAATGGCCCGACGCCTTCAGAAGTTGATGGATGCGACTCCAACAGAAGACCTTTTCCAGGATTGCAAAGCGTATCATTTGATACGGGACGACCAAGACAGGACAATGCCGTTCCTGCGTTGGAGCCATCAGCGCAAATGTTTGGAACCAACAGAGCAGCAGGGATTGCCCATCCAGGAAGTCAGCCGCAGCCTCAAGAACATCTTGCGACTATTGGCAGCAGATCTAAAGGTGACACTTCGATTTCACAGTTTGAAGAAACCCCCAACGGGAACGGAGTCGCAGCAAGCACTTCCGTGGATTTGGACAGTGGCGCTTCGAAATACGCCGGAACTGTGGCACGAAGTGGCCAGACTGGCCTATCACAGTTCTTGGCAACTTGTTCAAGTGCGTCTCCGCCCTCAGGGTTTGGAGCGCACACCATTGGCCAAGACTCTGATGAAGGCCATGTGATCCATATCCCCGTCTTCATGAACAGCACCGGCACAGCCTGCTTCGCCAATGTTGTGGTGATTTGCATAGCCTGGTTGACTTTGCTTTCGAATGGAGATGACCCTTCACAGTGGGTACATGGATATGAGTTGCTTCGAAACGTTTTCTTGGCAGGCCACATCCCAATGGATCTGCCCAAATTTGATCCGTTTTTGTGGCTTCTTTTAGGGGAGTGGTCAGTGGAGTCATTCAGAATCCAACATGATGTTTGCGAATTTGCCACCTATTTGCTCAATGTCATGCAGCCTCACTTTCTCCACTGCAGCTGGGTTACAATGCCAGAACGACTGGCACCTGGGGACGCCTCCATGCCTTCCGAAAAAGGATCAAGATTCTCACCAATTCAGCTTGCGTATGTTGATCATCTGGCCGATTCTGTCCAGCTTCAATCACTCATTGATTTGTGGCACAATCCCCGAGGTCTTTGCAGAGCAGCTGAGGAGGTGGGGTATCAATTGATTCTGATGATTGACCGTTTCAATCCTGAAACATTCACAAAGTGTCAACAGAAGATTGAGATCACTCACAATTCTGTCAGATTTCCGTACTTCAGCGGACTGGAGGGTGCAGTGATTTTCGAAACCTTTTTGCAGTTTGTGCAATCATTTTTCACCTTGGATCCTCACCATTATCTGGCCACTATCGTGCGGCACTGCGGTACAACACACAGTGGATGTTATATGAAGACGGACGCCCACCAGACAGAGTTGACATTCTTCCAGAGTTTGTATTGCGCAACTGTGTGATGTTCTGGTGTACACGTCCAACTTCTTTCAATGTCAGGACTATGGAGACAGCAGATCCACGAGCTTTTCGAAGCTTCAGCACGATCACACCAATGGACGATCGAGCTGAGAACATGGAAGACATCCCTCAGGACTGACCACAGTTGGTGCCCCTTGCATGCATTAATGCGGCTCTTTTGCACTGCGCTTTGCGGCTGAGCGTTGCTTTGGTGCTTTGCGCTGCGGTGCCTGGCTGCTGCAGCGGCTGTGGAGATGGCTGCTGATGGCGGCTGCGCTGGCAGCTGTGATGGCAGCTGATTGGCGACTGATGCGCTGCTGTGAGAGATTTTTCACTGAGGGTTACGTCTCAGTCATGGGAGACGTTGAAGCGTCAACTAGCTGGCAAGAAGGCTTAGTTGAAAAAGCTGACGCAAAGCGACATGACATGCGACCAGCAACCAGCTACCATGCTATCCCATGGCACCCTGCACAGAATCAGGTAACCAAGAGAAGCATCAAAAGAGCCTATAAACGGGCATGCACCTATGGCCTTGCTTGGTATATATACTCCCCAAGATTTCCCCAAATGCTTGAGGCAACAATCACCTGAGATTTTGAAGCCGGCAGAGCCTTCATTTGCCCCTGCCTTGCAAGCCTGTAACAAGCGGAACCAAGATTCCAGGCGATTGCGCCTGCTCAACTGGAATGCAGGTGGTCTGGCTGCACCCAGATTAGATGAGGTGAAAACTTGGATCTTGGATGGAACTGAATCACATTGAGCTTGCTGTCATCAGCGAGACGCGCATGACATTTGAGAGTGAATGGACAGATGGACGATGGATGCATGTCCACACAGGACAAGCCAATCACAGAGGCTCTGGGATTCTCTGCATTGTTTCCACTCAACTTTGCTCTGCACAGAATCTGCGTTGGAGGGTTGTCATTCCAGGACGTTTGATGCAAGTACAAATTCAGCTCAAGCACAGGTCCATTGACGTGGTGTGTTGCTACCAGCACACACAAGCCCACACGACACAACGCAGACAGGACAGAGCAACCTGGTGGAACGCATTAGATGCATTGCTCCAGAGCCTTGCCAGTCGGAACACCCTATGTTTGCTGGGGGATTTCAATACCAGCCTGATGCAACATCAATCGCATGCTGGCCCAAGCCACTACCGGTGGCGCGGGGCCCAGACACGTGGAGCACAACATGAAGATCAGGGTAGATTCATGTCTGTTTTACGCACTCATGGCCTTGTTGCACTTAATACATGGCATAGTGAATTGGGTCCCACCTACATCCATGACGACTGCAGCTCTCGCATTGACTTCATCATCACTCGCAAAACCATGGCAGATGGTGTAGCAAAACAGGTCAAATATACCTGGGATGCCCCTTTTTGTGGCACCACTGGACATGTGCCCATGATTGGTTTACTTCGTAAGATGTGGATTCCTCAAGATCATGCAACTGCGGCACAAACCATCAGTCCTGGCCAGAAAAAGCTGGGCCACCTGGCCTTTCGACTGAACACTGACACCTGGAGACTCTTAACCTTGCTGACGAGATTGGTGACAGTGTGCTGCACCGCCTGCAACAAGTCTCGAGCTCAGATGAAACACTTCTTTCAGATTTGCACCAGATTGCTTGCAGAGGGTTCCATCAATTTTTTCCACACAACAAGAAGCCATCAAATGCACCTGACAAGCTTGCCCAAACCCATATTCTCAACAAATGGGAACATAGGAAAGCATACTCGAAATTTGCTGTTGTGACTGTTCGAAACCTGTTCAAAGCCTGGCACCATGTCTGTAGGTTTTTGGTTTTGAAACGGCATGCCAAGACCCATGCCTGGCGTGTCCGACAGCTTAGATTTCAGGAAGTCATTGACAGTGCAACAGTGGCCGCTCTGAAACATGACACACATTCCCTTTTTCAGATCATAAACAAGTTTTCGCCAAAACAACCTGTACGCAGAATGCAACTCCGAAATCAGCAGGGACAGATTGCCAGTCCCCCAGAGGAAACTGCGATGCTACGTCATTTCATTCAGGAAACATGGCATGGACCTACAACATTCCAGACGCCTGGAGTGGCTGTCCATGACCTGCCTTTCACTCAGGCAGACCTGATGCATGCGCTGACGCATATTCCGGCAGTCAAAGCGGTTGCACGACCGTGCGCCCCTGCAATTGTGTGGAAATCAATTGCCCCCAAGATTGCGTCAGCCCTTTATGAAGTTTTTAGGACTCGGTGGATAGGTGACCATCCCTTTATACCTACGTGGTTTAAAGATAGCTGGATGATCCTAATCCCTAAACCTAATAAACCTCCTGTGCACCCGCGGGCATTGCGCCCTTTGGCTCTCCAAGAGCCACTGGGCAAAGCAGTGGTAGGACTTCTAGCCTCACAGGCCCAACAAGCATTGATGCCCATCATCATACCTTGGCCTATTTGGTCGTACCTGCCCAAGCGCTCCACACAAGATGCACTTCTGCGCGTCACCCAGCACTGCCGTGAGATTAGAACCCTGTTAGCCATGCAGAGAACCACTCCTTTTCAGAGAATGTTGAAAGCTTGCCGATATAAAGTTGCAGGTGGTATTGGTATTTTTTTGGACATTGAAAGAGCCTTTGACATGGTAAGCCGTCTTCAATTGTTTTCGAAACTATTCCAACTTGGTATTCCTGCCCCTGCAGCGCAACTTCTGACCATGTGGCACCAAGATACCAGATATCATTTGTTTTCACATGGGATTGATGAGGGGATCTCTGTTGGGCGCGGCCTGAGACAGGGATGCAAGGCTGCTCCCCTGCTTTGGAACATTTACGTTCTGCTGTTTTTGCAAGCTCTCAGCCAACGAGTTGACTGCCAGTGGATTCAGAGATGCATCAATTTCTATGCGGATGATGGTCAGATGGGCGATGTTTTCTTTTCCGTCACTGAATTTCATGACCTTTTATCCAAATTGTACACCACTCTGGAACTGCTGCAAGACTTTGGCATGACTATCAATTCGAGCAAGTGCGTTGCGTTGGTGGCAATGACTGGCACCTCCTACCGAAAATTGCGCCAAACACTCACTGCTTTTCGAGATGGAAAAGAATGGTTGAAGCTTGAAACTGCTGATCGTCCGATCATTTGGATACCAGTTGAGAGAAAGGTCAAATACCTTGGCACGGTGTTGTCCTACAACAATTTTGAGGATCAAACCACAATGCACCGCATTCAATTGTCCCAGCTTGCGTTCCATCGCCTTAGCCGCTGGCTTAAAGGCAAACGAGGCTTGTCCCAAAACCAGAGACTCCAATTATGGACCACTTGCGTATATCCTGTCTTAACCTACAGCATTTGCACAGTTGGCATCACAGCACATGGCACCCAGAAATTACAGCAAACCATGTATAGCATGCTCAGGCAGATCATTGGGAACCATGCATATCGTACTGGACAGAGCCACCAGACAGCGCTCACTGGACAAGGGGTTGTTTTGCCACTCACCCGGCTTGGACAGACTGTCGAACGCCAGTTGCTGTCGGTCACTCAACGACTGATGCAAGTTCCTGACATTGATATTGTTCACACTCTGGACTGGAGTCACTTGCACCATTTACGAGAGTTTCTGGCAGTCCAGAACAACACAGGCCAAGCTGTCCCAGTGCACCCTGACCCAGAGCACGACCTGCCGCCAGAGCCTGTTTTTGAGTGCCAGCTGTGTGACTTTAATACGACCAATGTAGCCACTTATAGGAGACATTGCACGCAGGCTCATGGACAGCGCATGAACAGAAATCTTTTTGCTTCTCATGCATCCCACATGTTACATGGTCTCCCACAGTGCAAGCATTGTTTTCAGACTTTCACAACATGGCGATCATTTACAGTTCACATCCAGCGTGGCTGCCAGGTCTTGCAACCAGGACCACCAGGGTGTTGGACCAACACTGCACCACCTCTGCAGGTGGACCCACCACAGGTCCAATCAATGTTTGCACCAAAGCAAGATGGGTCCAGTGCGGGGACAAACCATGCATGACTTGAGCAACCTCAGAAGCCAGGAATGGGGTGACAGAATCTTGACGATTGTGGCCAATCCAACGTGGCATCATATGAGACGGGAACAACAAGCCTGCGAATATCTGGCCACCAGATGCTGCCTGTGCGATCAGTTCCTTGGCCGTATGCAGGACTTGAATCAGCACATCAAGGTCCTGCACCCGACGTTTTGGCCACACACCTCGGCTAAGGGAAAGCAGCTCACAAACCAATACGGAGAGGACACACCATGTCCTTACTGCCATGCTTTGTTCCGCAACACACATCAGTGCAGGGTCTGGACACAACTAGCCCTCCTATTGGTGCACGGTGGAGGCCAAGTGACGGACACTGCTGCAGCTGCCAGGTCTATCTTGACTTGCGACATTTGTGGGACCCTCCATGAGACCACAGAGGGCCTACATGCTCACCTTGCCCAAGACCATCGACTGGCCAGCACTGGGTTCAACCCAGCCAGGGACTGTCTGGATGGACAGTCCGCATGCAACCACTGCGGTGCTGTCTTTGAGCACCTTGAGTCCTTGCGGTCACATATAAACCAAGGCAGATGTGGACAATTTGCCCCAGATCTACCAACAGAAGTCTTGACAGTGCAACCAGCTTGGGAGCTAGCAACAAGTGCTGGCAAACTGGTGGACACGTTGCGTGACAGCCATACACGTTTACAGCTGACTTTACAATGCCAGAACTGCAGTTGCCGGTACTCACGACCGGCTGATTTGTCAGGCCACTTGGTTGCAGCCCACTCGCAGTTGTGGTCGGCGTCCCAGGGTTTGACACACATTTTAGTCTCCCTGCTGTACAATCAGGTGGGTTGCACCTGCAACCCCAGCACCAGTCAACATCGAGCCAACCATGTATGCAATCCTCTACGCCAGTTAGCTATGCAGCACATGAGACTGCGGGATGTGATTTTCTTTCCACATGATCCCACTGAAGCTGAGCTGGCCCAGATGTTTTCTGCAAAACTGGATAGAGACTCACGATTTCGACTGGAACGACTGTTGACCACCAGACTGTTGCATGAACTCTGGCTGGACGATCACATCCTTGCCATCACGAGGTCCACTTGCCTCCTCTGCGCTGAAGTATTCCATGTGGCAGAGCTGCCCCTTCACATGTATGAGGCACACCACTGTGGTATCCCGTTGGTGAAATTTCTGGTGCAACAATTGCTGCCCAAGTTTCTGAACCATTGTGACAATGATGTGCAATGCTATGCCTGTCATCAAGTGATCAATTTGCGCAGAGAAGACACTCATGACCCAACCATGCTGACAGATGCACAACGATCTGCTTTGGTCCAAGCCCATTTCAAGGCCCAGTGTCCTTGCCTCATCCAAGCTGCTGTCCTTTTGAGCCGAGCTGCCAATGGCCGACATGACCATGCCAGAAGCGGACGACGCCACGAACCAAGTCTGGCAAGCGTTCCAGGCGATGGGGCCCATGTTGGATCGGACACTCCAATTGTCCCAGAATGCTCATCCCAAGCGCCAAAGAAAAGGCGACTCCAACCAAGACGAGCACCAAAAGCACGGAGCATCAGACAAAATCCAACTGGCACAGGCGGTGACGCTCATGGCCAAATTGGCTCTCCAAATGGACAGGGAGCTGCAGGCGATGAAGAGAGAGGACACCTTCATTCTCTTTTTCGCCAACAAAGGGAAAGAAGGCTGCTTGAAACTGCTGCTACAAGCCACGGAGAAATGGGCACAACAACACCAGGAGAACCTGCAGGCACACCAGAGGGTGAGGACCATGCCGCTGAGGCAGCACCTGGCTCAGGTCCTTTTCAATACTCTTCTCAGTCGGATTCAACAACTGGGATCAGCGCCAGCGGGCTCCGAAGTCTTGGTGGCTGCCCAGCACAATCAAGTGCTGCTACAGGACCTCACGTGCCCATATCTGGAATGGGACCATGGGCACAAGGCATTGGTGCCCAGCAATCGACGGCCACTCACCCTGACCCGTCTGCAACAGATCTGCACAGACATGCTGGAGGCCCTGACGGAGATGCAAACGGTAGTGAAGTTTCACGCACTACCAGCCGGGCAGAAGCAGGACGTATCACCATGGAAATTGCAGGTGAGTATGAGGATGGACAGCCCGTGGCAATTGCTGACGGAGCTGAGCCACTCAGCCATTTGGATGCTCATGGGGACATCACTTCGACCCCACAGCCTCCAACAAAGCCCATTGGCAGTGAACCTGCAGAAGACCTTGCAGCTTCAGTCGCCCACCAAGGGCAAGGGCAAAGGCAAGAAGAAGGGAGCAGTGGCCCCCAAAACAGAATGAACCCAACTGAGAGGTACCAATGCCTCACACCTGAACTCTTGTTGCAACGACTTGCACATATGAGCATGGAAAACCCTGGGAACATTTGTTTTGCCAATGCCACGACGAGTGCCTTGCTGTGGACTACCTTGTCCACAATGACGTGGAGCCTGAAAGCATGGGGAAAACAGTGCCAGATGTTGCATGATTTTATTTGCACCAACCCTGCTACCTGCATCAATCTTTGTGATGAAGTTTGGTTTCAGCAGATCTTGCACTGTTGGGGTTTGATAGATCCTGCGGTTAGCCCACAGCGCATTGCACAACAGGACTCAGCTGAATTCGTTGCAGCATGGTTGGTGCAGATGGGCTCTGATGCTTTTGACATGCGTTGGGAAAAGCGGATCTCTGAAAATGACAGCATTAGGATTTGCGATCAGGGTTGCAAGAGCACACCAATTTGCTTGAAATTCACACCTTTTTTGGCAGACACCAGTTGCAGTGACCTGACACAGCTGTTTGCAGTATGGCAATGTGCACGGCACTTTGCCAGGCACCCACCTGTCTCTGCATCCATGTTGACCGCTGCACACAGGACAGCCAGCAACGGATTTACAAAAGTGAATGCATGCTTCAAACAGACCAGGTATGCCTTGTACCTGTCTTCTCAGACAGTGCTCTGACATGTGAGATGATTGAGTACCAAGTGGTGGCGCTCACGGCGCATTTGGGAGAGGACAATGCAGGCCACTTCCGCGCTGCCCTGAGACTAGCACCAGCAATTGCCAACCAAGTCACACCAGCGGAATGGCTTCTCACTGATGATTGGGTAGCTCCCAAGCCTTTGTGGGATGTTCCAAACTGGATGAAACGCACAGCCACTGTGTACTGGCTGACTCGTGCTGATCATGTGAAGCTCTGGAATTATCGGAACCTGGATATGACACCAGATGCAGCGGCAGTCAACGCAGCGATCCTTGCCATGCTACCGCTGCCAACATGAAGATCAGTGAGGCATTCTCATGCCACCATTCTGAATTTTCTCCCATGCGCAATCCATCACCCATCAGATGGAACCAAGATGCTTTTCATTTCTCCAAACAAGAGCGGCACCTGAGAGTCAACTGTAGGGGGCCAGATTGCTTCCAAAACGGAACCGTTGCAACCATGCAACGCTGGTCGGCACAGACCTTGAGAGCAATGGAAAAGGTATGCAGCCAAAAAAAAACACACACTGCTGAACACACGCACACGCACACACACACACCACCACACGCACACGCACACACGCACATCACACGCACACGCACACGCGCACCCCCACCGCGCACGCGCACGCGCACGGAGCACGGCACGAGCGCCCTAGCGCGCACATGCGCACACGCGCACACGCGCACACGCGCACACGCGCACACGCGCACACGCGCACACGCGCACACGCGCACACGCGCACACGCGCACACGTGCACACGCGCACACGCGCACACGCGCACACGCGCACACGCGCACACGCGCACACGCGCACACACGCACACACGCACACACGCACACACGCACACACGCACACACGCACACACACGCACACACGCACACACGCACACACAGATACTTTCGCACGCGGCCAGTCAAACTCGCAATTTTCCCACAGTTTTTGACGACAAAACCGCATTTCGTGCATAACTGTCGCATTTTCGTGATCGCTGGTGGCCACTGCGCGCTTTAAGAGAGAATAGAAATTGGAAGAAGAGAGGAAACAGACAGAGAGGGAGAGAGAGAGAGAGTGCAAGGTCTGAAGATGCAGACGTAAGATCAGTAGACGTAAAGTCAGCAGACGTAAGATCAGCAGACGGAAGATCAGCAGACGGAAGATCAGCAGACATAATATCTGAAGATATAAGATGTGAAGACGTAAGATCTCAGTTCCTTTTTAGAAAAACCCTACGTTCAGGCGCTCTCGGGAAAAAGAACAGGTTTAGCTTTGGTTACTTTCATTCCTTTCGATTGCTGAGGACACTATCGACCTCAAAGTTGCAAGCGTCAAAGCGTGCCCTGTGATCAACACTGTTGAAACATACCGCGGCTCGGCGAATCTTTGAAACATAATTTTGTTCCACAATTCTTGCGCTGTAACCATGTTCAACTTGACTCGAGGACGCGCCCGGCAGAATTTCTGGACATTGGGAGGGCCACGCGCTCTCAGGGATCAATTGGAAAGGCAGGGTTTCTTGAAGGCCGGGTCCTGATCAGGTCATCTCAGAACGTGATTCAATGGCTGGCCGGTGGAGGAGCATACAGTGCTAGCATTTACTTTGTTTGTGGCTGGAATATGGTTTTCCATCCCGGGTTCATCATGTCCCCCAGCCTTTTCGAATTCTGCCAAGGATGGGTCGGCAAAGTTGACCACAAGCAATAAACCTTTCAATGTGTTTGCGCCTTGCCTCAAGATGTCGCTTCAAATCATTTGCAATTATTTCATATTATCTCGGCAAAAGGCCCAACAGAGTGGAGAACATGTGCTGATGTGGAGAACAAACCCTGCTGGCAAGAAGGTCTACCGGATCATCCCGGGGCCTCTAAGAGAATCCCACAAGATCGACATAGGAGGGCCTTCTAGCAGGTTGTTTCAAGATGTTTCAAGCTTTCTGCACGAGAACTTGTTACAAACGCCTCTAACGCAATCTCTTCAAGATCTTCATACAAGGACCTCGAAGAGAATCTTTCTAGAAGGACCTTCCAGGAGTATTTCTTCAGGATCTCCGCAAGATCTTCTCATCAGGACCTCTTCAAGGTATTCACACGCGGAACTCTAAGAGAATCTTGCAAGGTGGCCATAGAAGGACCTTATGGAGGTGTCAGATCTTGAATTAACTCAGGGAGGGTTTCGCACCACTACGAGAGCGATCCGACGTGCGCAGGTGAGGAGGGTTGGGCGAGAGGTACCACATGCGTGCTCCGACGCGCGCAAAGTGTAGAGCCGTTGTGCAAGGGATATCAAAGTGACCACTTCGCTACAACGAGAGCGGCTCGACATGCGCCAAGGGCAGAGAGGATTTCGGAGTGAATGTCACAGAAAATCGCCACATATTGCGGGCGCCACTAAAAGGAAAGTTGAAGATGTGAGAAAGCCCTGGGTGTTACACTTTTTATCCAGGTCTCTGGAGTATTGTGACTGTTTTAAGGGTTGCAACTCTGCAATCTGTGCAAGACTCAGGTTTTAAGCCCATTTTTGGTCAAATCCTTCATCAAGTTCATGTCGTTTGCCCAACGTTTTGCAGGCCGCGCGCAATTTTGGAACATAAATGAGTGCAATGAATACATGTAAGCAGCCTCAGATTCAAGGCTTTGTTTTTTTTTCCGGTGCAGTCAAATATGGTTTAAGGCCTTTCCACATGCCGTCAATCTTTTGAGTTCCAATCGGCCCTTCAGAGCATTGGCAGCGTGGGACCACTCTACTCCAATGGGTTGTGTGAAGACGAAAGAGATCTAGGGCCTCGGGCTCCCGCCGTCAAAAGTGTCGACAATCCTTAAGCGAATCCCAGGACACAGTCCAAAGCACCCGAAGCCTTTGGAAAGTAAGGCAAAAGGAAACGACGCGCGACGCAACAAGACGTAGGTGAGACACAGGGCAACGCGCAAATATTGCATCCTCAGAGCCAGGCGTGTCAAAAGACATGAACATAATTCCAAACCTACATTTACAACATCTTTCTCAACACGACATGTGAAAATTGTCAATTTCCAAAGCAGACGAAACCTGAACCTAACATCTGAACATAACATCCCCAACGCAACATCCTCAACGACATATCTTTACATCATATTAAAACCACAAAAAACACGGTAGCTTGAAACGACCAGGTATACCGATTCCAAAAACGACTTCTGGCTCATGAAACGGCCGGCTTCAACTTTTCAAAAAACCGCCCACACACATTGTGAACAAAAAACGACGGCGTCAACTCCCTTTGTGACCCACGCTGCTGCAATGTGCGCCACATACCGCGCCCTAAGAATGCACTTGCTTCCAAAAACGGACAGTGCACGCAGGGTAGAAGGCACCTCTGCAGTAGAGGTTTCCTGGCCCGGTTCTCGTGCGAGACATCTTTCAAAAATGGTTGATCAAGGCATTAATTTTGTGCTGTGAGGGTCACCAAAACAGGAGAATCCGTCCACCTTCGATCCACCCAACCTTAATGAAGAATCCCCTTGTGTGACACTGTATTGTTTGGGGAAGAGTGCAACTCAGAAAAAGGCAGGTACAGCATACTACCCAAGTGGGGTGTGAAAACCGATGTCAATTCATGACAGCACAGCATGCATCCAGCACAGACCCGGATGTATCACTGATCCGCCACATACCGTGGCTCAAGCCGCGCAAGCGCAAAAAGGTGTGACTCTGCGTCAGTGCTTTTGCACTGGCAGCGGAGCTGTCAAAGGATCCAAGGGCCTTTAGGGCCAACGCAACTCCGGTGCGTCGGCCATGTCGGCGCTCTTAGATGCTCTGCGCTGGCCGAACTTCATAGCGGAGGACGAGTCAGTGCAGATGGGAACAGAAGGAAAAGCTGGAATTCCACGCTTCAATGGTGAGCCAACGCGACTGGCTGAATATATGTTCATCGTGAAGGCCAAGCAGCTCAAGGAGAAAGGCTTGGTCCTCTCGCCTTGAGGCTTGTTGAGGGCCTCAGTGGCACTGCCTTACGTGTGGCTCAGACTATGGACTTCAGTGAACTTAGCAAGCCTGAAGCTGGAGTGGAAAAGCTTCTGGCAGCCTTTGAGAAGGAACTGAAGCCTCGCCGTGCACAGCAAGCGAGAGAACTCTATGCTGCTGGCTCGGCACCTCATGGCATTTTGTCCAGGCAGAATGGAGAGACGATGGCCTCCTACATTCTCCGGCGACGCACTTGGTATCGCTGCCTGGTGGACACGTCGGATGACATGAAGCTGCCTGACATTGTGCTGGCGGGGCAACTGCTGTCTTCAGCCAACATATCGGCTGACCATCAACTACTTGTGAGAACGGCTTTGCAGGGGAACATCACCTTCGACCGTGTGGCTGATGAACTGGTGTCTCAACACTCCAGGCTGCATGAGCGTGAGAAGTCGCGCAACTTTGTCCACAAGAAGCCCTTCTATGGATACCAACAGAACCGCAAAGGATCTGGCAAGTGGCATGGTGCTTTCTATGCCGATGAGACAGCACAGCACGACAAGGCCTACTCCGAGGACTTTTCTGAGGAGACCTATGAGCCTGAAGAGCCCTATGTGTCTGACGAGATCGACCCCATCGAGGAGCACATCGGATTCATGGTGAATGACGGAGTGGATTTTGATGATCCTGAAAGCGCTGAAGCAGCTGCTGAGGTGCTTCAAGCTGAGCAAGAAGCCTATTTCGTGAAGAAGGGTGCTGCGCAGAAGGGCAAGGGATCTGGCCCCAAGCACTTTGCAGTTTCTGGAAGCCTTAGCTTGGAAGAGCGCAAAGCCAAGATCGCCTCCTTGAAGTCGCGAACTACATGCAGAAAATGTGGAGCTGTCGGACACTGGAGTGGTGACAGCCAATGCCCTGGCTCCAAGGGAGGTGCACGAAAAGGGAAGTATCGACCTGGTTCAACAAGCGGCTCTTCACAGATGAGCACTACGGCATCAAAGGGATCACCAGCAAAGTCACGCACGGTGTACTTTGCTGTCCACGAGCCCTCATCTGCTGGTGGATCACATGGCTACATGGCGCTACGTGGTGAAGGTTTTCATGCAGTACCTCCACCTTCCTCTCTGACAGGACAACATGAACATGCACAACATGGCCCTCCTCATGGACATGCTCTTCATGGAACTCAACATGAACATGCTCTACATGGACCTCCTCATGAACTTGCTCTACATGCTCTTCCTCATGAACATGTTCCACAAGATGCTTTGGTACCAGCTCATGAGTCCCTGGTGCCAGCTGAGACACGACCTCACTGGGTCGACCTATCTCATGGAGAAGTTGGACATGGAGAAATGCGTGGCCGAGTACATGAGATGCCGTTTCTGTTTCCACAGAGGCCACTGACCAACGACGAGAAGGAAGAGATGATGCCGCAACAAGCTCTTGGACGTTTGGCACAGCCAAGCCTTCCCATGGATGTTGATGGCCTTGGCATGATCGAAAATCAACGTGGAGCTCTACCTGCTGGAGTTCCACCACTTCCTGTACGAGCTCTACCGGCTGAACATGCAATGCGTCCTGAGCAGGCGTCTTCCTCTACGCCTCGACAAGTTCCTGCCGCTGGACCTGATGAACGACCAGAAGAAGGACCGTTCAGTCCTCAGCCTGCCAACTATCAACAAACAGTATGTCAGCATGAACGTGTCACGTCAAGGGGCACCAACAAGTTTGTCAGAATGTTGCGATGTTTGGACTGCCAGCTCTTGTTGGAGCGCGAGCGCATTCCTCAAGTCAGCTTTCCCAAGGCCTGCACGAGCTGACCCTGTCACTCACCAAGGCACTCGACGTGTGCTGCGGGAACGTGCGGTCTTGCATGTTGGCGCTGGGAAGTACAAGAACAACCCATGCTACCAGGCCTACGAGGACTGCAACTACCGCAAGTGGGTGCTGGAGATCATCGACGACAAGTCTTCGAGGGACATGCGATCCAGTTACAACCTCTTTGTGGAGATTGGCGAGTACGAGGGCAACCACGGCAAGCTCTTCACTGCTGGCGAGCGCTCCATGTACCATGCTGCAACTCCTTCGTCTACGACCTCTACAAGGACTGGCTACATGGCTGTCTCTGAGCACGTTTCTGATGGCTCCGAGGGCGACCTCATTGCTGTGCTGGACACTGGTTGCAACACAACTTGTCATGGTGCATACTGGCTGAAGCGCTACTTGAAGGCGACCAACCAAGCAGAACCTCAACTTCTACCTGATGGCGCTGGTGGTTTTCGTGGCATTGGTGGCATCACAGCCACTGCTGGCTCACGAGTTCTGGATCTATGCTTGGAGCTCACTGATGGCACCTTGGCCAAGGGCACTCTCCACAGCGTCGAACTTGAACGCCCCACTTTTGCTCTCTCTTGAGGCTCAGCGTCGACTTGGACCTGTGCTGGACCTCAACCGTGCCATGGCTCACAGCGAGGCACTTGGTGGAGATTTGCAACTGGTATCCCACAATGGACTTTATGGACTTCGACTCCTCCCTGGTGGGTTTGCTGGACTTGGACTTCGCAAAGCATCAGCAGACCGTCCTTTGGATTTTCAGGACGAGGCGGCAGATGATCACCCCACAGGTGCAGATCCCACGATGGCGGATGATCACACTCGTGTGCAGACCCTGCCGATGTGGATGATCACGCTTGTGGTGCAGACCCTGCTGCTGAGGAAAACATTTTGGGATACCTTCCCTATGATGAACTCAAGGTGCATGCCATGTCCAAAGGGCAAGCCAGCAAGATCAAAGCCAACATTGATGCAGTCACCAAGAAGGACAAGCTGATGTGGAATCAAGTTTGTCCCAAGTACTTGCGAAGGTGGCCTTGCCTTCCACATGGCTGCAAGACCTTCCTCATGGAGATCTTCGCTGGATGTGCCATGCTGACCAGCGTTGCACACTATGCCTATGGATATATATCCAACCAGCGAGCCCATTGACGTGATCTATGACCCAACCTTTGACCTCACAACTCCTGCTGGACGTGCTGCGGCCGATGAGCGCATTGCCCGAGATGATCCATATCTTTTGACCTTTGCGCCAGTTTGTGCCCCCTGGTCTCCATGGCAAAACATGAACATGACGCGGTCGGATGACACCCGGCTCAAGATCTTGGAAGACCGCAAGAAATGGATCCCTGTCATCAAGCGGATGTGTGGTCATGCAAGATCACGACTTCAACGAGGGCGGCAAGTTTTCATTGAGAATCCAGCTCCTTCAGAGGAGCACTACGACCAGATCACTGGAGAAGCGCTTGAGAAGATCAATGTTGATCTTTGTGCCTTCAACCTCCACGACAAGAACTCTGGCCTCGCAGTTTGCAAAAGAGGCTGGCCAATGCAGCAAAGACCATCTTCATGAACCTTTGGAAGGTGGGAAGAGATGCAAGCATGCTCAAGCTTGGACTGAAGAGTTTTGCGCTCACGTCATTGAGTGTCACTTGCACGATCTCGACAATCACCTCACGAGATCTGCTTTTCCTGCTGAGGCTGTGGAGGAAGACATTCTTGTGAATGACGACGCTCCAACGCCCTTCCCCACTCTTGACCTCATCGAGACTTCTGAAGATGTGGCCATTGGACTTCTGCCACGAGAAGAATTGCCAGAGCAGCTTGAGATTCCAAATCCTCAAGCTGAGGCACTTGAAAGTCAACAACTACAAGAGAGCAGATCTGTCTGGCGACAGTTACCTATGTCTACCCGTGTTGCTGTGAGAAGGTTGCGCACTATGACTGGGCATTCTTCTGTGTCCTCCATGCAACGAATTCTACGAACGTCAGCAAAAAGCCTGCTCCGCGACCAGCAACAAGACCACCAAGCGACTACCGCTTCAATGTGGAGATTGCGGTGGACTGCTTTGAGATCAGAGATGTTGAGGGCAATCGCTTCACCATCCTTTCCATCGTTGACATGGGGACCCTTTACCATGTCGCTGAGATTGTCTCTGACAAGGGTGGAGCTCCCTCATCAAGAGCATGCGCCGATGCCTTTCGGCGAGTCTGGCTGAACTGGGCTGGCCCTCCAAAGTCAATCATAGTTGACCGTGGATTGCACAACCGTGGTCGCTTCTCTGAGCTGTTGACCTACCACGGCGTGCAGATGCGTTTCATTGGCGTTGAAGCTCATCACCAACTTGGGCGAGGTGAGCGACAAGGGGGCATCCTCAAACATCTTTTACAACATGTTGTGGAAGCAAGACAACTGACTGGACTTCGAGCTCTTGAGCTTTTGCTACCTGAGGCTGTCTTTATCAAGAACAACCGCATTCACCATGGCGGCTTCACACCGAGCCAATGGACTTTAGGCAAGCTCCACTGGAAGTTGACTCCCTGACCTCAGAGGACTCACAACGTCTCCTGGGCACACATCAAGAAGTGCTTGATGGTGAGACTGCCTTTGCCAGGCAGATGCAACTTCGACAAGCTGCAAAAGAAGCCTTTTCCTTTGTTGATGCCTCACAGAGATTGCGGGCTTCTATGTTGCGGAAGACCACACCAACACGTGGTCCCTTCTTGGCTGGTAATTTGGTTTGTTTTTACCGAAAAGGACGTTCAAGCCATGGACGTTGGTATGGGCCTGCCCGAGTTTTGGGACAAGAAGGCCGCTCAACACTTTGGATCATTCATGGTGGTGTGCCGATGACAGTTGGCATTGAATCTCTCAGACATGCCACTGGGAATGAAGTCTTAGCCAAGCATGCACTGGAATTGCGCCCATCGCGCAAACGTCGGCGTGAAGTCCTTGACCCTGACGAGGACGAGATGGACTATCCCCTCGCCGATGACTTGATTGGCGCTCCTGGGATCGACAATGCTGAAGATATCGAACAGATTCCCCTCTTTGACTTGGGAACCCATGCGCCTGAAGAACCTGTCCTGTTCTTCCACAAGAGCCCGCACAGTTTGCTCCTATGGATGGACGTGATCTACATGTGGATGTTCCAATCCCTGAGGAATTGGACAACGACCATGATGCCATGGACGACATCCCTGTGCCACCTGGCTTGACGCTTGGATCAGACCAGGCGACTGAGATTTTCAGTTCCACTGATGAGCCGGAGTTGGGAGCTGTCCCACGGACACGTGTGGACACACCACTGGGAAACCCAGCATCTACACCTTTGAATCAAGCTTTGCATCGCTCACTTGATGCAGTGGATGGCATTCCTCTACGAGCACAACGACGTGAACGATCACGATCACCGCCACCTCGTGATCCCAGATATGAGCCGGCTGCTCCATCTGATGGACCAGAAGCACGAGCCTTTGTGGGTTTTCTGGCACGCAGCACGACCAAGAAGTCAGAAACTGCCCGTGCCAAAGAGCTCAACTACAACAAATCAGATGATGCACGACAAGCCAAGATGTTGGAAGCCAGAAGCCGCGAATGGGCAAACTGGAACAACTTCAACAAGGCCGTGACGGTTTTGTCACCCACTGAAGCTGCCAAGTACCTCATGACCCATCCTGATGCTGAAGTCATCCCTACGCGTTGGGTCGACACCTTGAAGTCCCAACCTTGGGAGCCTGACCGCCACAAGGCACGACTTGTGGTGAGAGGAGATTTGGAAGCTGAGGGAAATGCAAGGACTGACAGTCCTACATGCAGTCAACCTATGTTCTCCCTGGTGCTGAGCGTTTCTGCTTCGAAACGATGGCGTTTGAGGGGAGGCGACATCACAGCTGCCTTCCTCCGGGGTGAGAAAATCACAAGGACTCTTGTCCTATCATTTCCAAAAGATGGCATTGAAGGTGTTCAACCGCAACAGCAATGCACAAGCCGAAAACCCAAAGAGCCGAACAACCGCTGAGCCAATCTGCGATGTTGCAGAGGTTATGTTGACTCATTGGCGGCGGTCCTCTTTTCCGGAAGAAACAATTTGTTTTATCATTTCTCAGTTAAATCAATCTTGGGATGTTAACCGCTCAAGCAGCGCAGCAGGGACGAGTCTGCGCTGTCACAGCTGCGCGCGCTGCCAAGTAGAAGCGAAGACCTGCTAGACAAACTGCAGTCAACATTCAGTCAGATATTACCGAGCGAGAGGCATGAAGACCAGAAAGAAATACCAGGACCAAATAGACAGGTAGGAAAGATCAACAAAGAGGTTCATTTAATATAGACACGAAAAAAAACAAAATCATCCCATGAGAATATCTGAGAGAACAAAGGCCTGCCTTCAATCTACCAGACAAAATTGCCATCAAGCTGATCTGTGGCCGTGGCCTAGATCAGAATTTTGAATTTCTCTCCGCACCAATCAATAGATAATATTTATTATAATGGAAACATGCATAGCAGTCGGCAGGCACCTGTGGAGAATGCGCAGCTCGTCCAGTGTCCTGCACATGTTCGGCCGGAGAACTGAAGCTTTGAACTACCAAGTATCCCAAACTTGAAAAGTACCGTTACTGAAAAGAGTGTGACATGGCATGTCAGAGACCTCACATGTCCAGAATACTTAAATGATAAATTCTCTCAATGGATGTGTTCTGAAGGGCCCTATGTGTAAACCAAAACCCTTTGATAAGCACAATCTAAGTCAAAACTGCCAGCAACACCCATCAAACAAACACGATCACCCGACCTCAACAGGGAGAGCAATAGACAGCCGCTGTGAGCCGCATCGCAAGAGCCGCGGCAGCCAAAAAGAAGCTGCGATAGCCACAGCAGCCGCAAGAGCCACAGCAGCCGCAAGAGCCGCAGCAGCCGCGAGCCCACCTACACCAAGCTGGAACAGGAACCGCAGGTGGCAAGAGGTTGGCCATTGACCTGAGCTACTTGCGCCAAGTTCTATGGCGCCAACTTGGTGAAGAAAACGGTGACCCACTCTATGGTGACCATGTACCAAAAGATGCCTCCACCCGAGCCATGTGGGTGGAAACCAAAACGATGGTTGCCGACTGCCTCACCAAGAAGATGAAATGCGAACAGATGGAAACCTTGCAACAGAAAGGCACTCTAGCCTTTGACATGAACAAGGAGACTAGCAAGAAAGCGATTGCAAGGGCACGAAACAAAGACCAGAATAGCAGCGAGACATCCTTGGTCTGTAAAAAGACCATGGGTGTGAAAACCGATGTCAATTCATGACAGCACAGCATGCATCCAGCACAGACCCGGATGTATCACTGATCCACCACATACCGTGGCTCAAGCCGCGCAAACGCAAAAAGGTGTGACTCTGCGTCAGTGCTTTTGCATGGGGAATTCAAGGAGCTACTGCTGTAGCACAGAGGCATTTACTTTAAGCAAGAACTTGTTTAGCACTCGGGCACCTTATCCAACGGCGATGGATTAACGCAATGTAAAAATTGGTTGAACATGCGCGTCACTTGAATGTGGTTTCTCATTCTGTCTCATTTTTGTCGTGAATGTCTTTGCGACATGTTTGAGCCAAGGCGCGGCTGGCTTATCAAGACTCCGTGGGCCGAGCGCTCTTTGCATCTGAAAACAGCTTGTCGAAGCTTCAGGGCAGGGAACGGCCCTAGAAGCGTAACCAATGTCACGAAGAGCATTGCCACTACTTGTCGTACATATGAAGGGTTGCATCATGTTTTAATATGTTTTATGTGCTTGGATTGGATCGGCAAAGTCACAGTGTTGAAATCCAGCAATCACAGTTGGACAAGCTTCAACATCCCAGCGCCTCGGCCAAACATTGTTCGACGGCCTTCTGTGTTGATAAACTTCAAAGATGGCCACGTAGCATGCACAAAGTGCATGATGTTCTGAGCGTGCGGAGTCCGAAAATCAAGTTTAGCAGTTGCTTTTGAAATGGGTTCGCTGTGTTTAACGGAATGCAGTGAAAGGTGCTGTTCTGGAGGTGTGCACTTTGATTTTGCATGGGAGGGGCGCTTGGTGAGAATCAGACCTGAACGTGTTCAAATCGGGTTACAAATTCTGTGCCTATACCCAAGGGCTGCGCGACCTCAGGGGGCAATAAAAGCCACTCCTCACAGGATGTGAACCATGTGGCTGCGTTTGTATGGCTTCATCTGGGGCTTGCCAAGCAAGTGCTTCAAAATCAGGTCGCACACCTTGTGCCTATAGCGAAAGCTGCAAATGAAGGATTTGGGAAGATGTGGTTGTTGTTTTTGCATGGCCTGCGTGTCCGTGTCCTTTGAAGGAGGCTTGCAAAGATGTGATTTGTGTAAATTTGTCTGGCAGGTGCAGCGCTTGGTAAGAATCGGACGTGAAAGTGATGCGGGTTTTTAATCGGCTCGCAGATTCCGCGCCTAAAGCGGAAGGTGGCAGGCATGGCGCTAGGTGAGAATCAGCGAACGTGTTGCGAGGCAGAATCATAGTCATGGATCTTATAGCGCAACTTCAAAACGCGTCCTTGCTGGAGGCTTCAGAATATGTGGAATGCTGTGCTTGTGTGGCAGTGTGAGGTGTAGAGTGTGGAGTGTGGAGCGTGGAGTGGAGAGTGATGGGTGCAAGGGTGTCGAGCTTTTGGTGTAAAGTGAAGTCTAAAGCATGGAGTTTAGAATGTGCAGCGCGGAGCGTGGAGTGCATTTAGCCGGCTGTTGTGGTCGTGGTTGTTGCTGTTGCTGTTGGTGTGGTGGTTGTTGTGGTTGTGGTTGTGGTTGTGGTTGTTGTTGTTGTTGTTGGTACAAACAAAGACTGGGGCCCTCAGAATAAGGTTCCCGAGCTTATTTTGGAATTTGCTTGGTGTCCCTGAAGGGCGTCCTTGGAGTTTTGCACCGTTTTAAAAATGAATTTTGGTGCAGACTTTTGGCTGCTTTTTTCCGCTTTTGTAAAAGCTTGTTGGGCCCCTTTTTGGATCTTTTTGGCGCCGAAAGCTTGCAAAAAGGGGTCCAGCAGGTTCGCTTTGTATCAGTGTGATTTTTCAGGTTGCTGGACCCCTTTTTGGGGATCCTGCAGCCCAATTCTGGCAAAAAGGGGCCCCGCAACCTGTTCGTTTGGAGTTCCATGATCGAGCCTTTCATTTTCTAGCTGCTGGGCCCCTTTTTGTGTTGCCAGCGTTCTGGATCCTCCAAAAAGGGGTCCAGCGGCACCTGACTTCAGATTTTGAGCCGTGAGCGGCCGGGATCCCTTTTTTGAGCCGTGAGCGGCCGGGATCCCTTTTTTGAGCCGTGAGCGGCCGGGATCCTCCAAGAAGGGGCCCCACAACCTGACGTCAAACCAGCTTCCATGTGGACCCTTTTGAGTGGCTTTGCCACACACAGAGGCCGTACCTGTGTCAGCTCTCTCTGTTCCTTCCCTCTCTGCTTGTCCGTTGCTTTCTCTTTGTTGCAGATCCTGTACTGAAACATCTTTTTGA